CAATTCGAGCGCACCTTGTAACAACACTTTTTCACTCTGAAATATCTCCCTTTAAAAAGGGAGATTTTTTACGATGCGTAATTTTTCTAAATTTCTTTTCTTTTCTTTAAATTTCTTTTCTTGAACTTTGTTCTGTATTGCATAGCGTACTAATTAAGCCGTTCACAGTTCAAATCGTTTAACTCCACTTTTTGAATTATTTTAAATTTAAGTGTCAAAGCACTTGGTTCAGTCATACCTCTTTTTACTTACAATAAATTTTCCAAATAATACGAATTAACACCATTAAGCAACAAAATTCTTTTGGTCGGAAAATAATTAATAATTTGTATTCTAGCTTATTATCTATTCTATCTTACTCATTCTATATATAGGTCTTTAGATGAAAGTTACATCTGTATTTATTTATTATAGTGTTATTTATTATTTAGTTATATTTATAATTATATATTTATAATTATATTGAATATTATATTTATAATTATAATTATAATATGACTATAAAATATTGTGTATACTATACTATTCTGTTATTATGTACTATAAAATATCTATAACATAAAATGTTATAAATATAACTATAAAATATAACTATAAATATAACTATAATATAAATATAAATATATAAACATAAATATAACTATAAAATATAACTACAGGTATAACTAAAAAAATAAAAATTGAAATAAACAGTATAAATATAACTATAATATAAATATAAATATATAAATATATAGTTATATTTATATTTATATTATAAATTTATTTACAGTGTTTATTTCAATTTTTATTTTAAACGGAATTTTGACAATCGATTTGGCATGTGAGCGGCTCAATATTTTTTCCCGTGTAGTGAAATAAATAAAGACTAAAGGTATTTTAGTTAATTTTTACAGCCGTTTCGGAAAGATTAGCAGATTAATCTTAGGACCTTGGTGCACGAACAAATCGTAGAATAAAATGTTCAGCTAGGGGGTTAGCTAGCCAGTGACTTACAATCCCCGAGTCTATATTTCTCGCGGCGTTAAAGTCGAGGTCGATTCCATCCACGCTGTGGAAGGTTCGTTCGAAGCTGCGATCATTACACCCGTTACAAGCTGTCACATAGCTCATCTCACGCACAAGACCCGGCCGGCTCGCTCGCGCAGGCTCGCGCACACCAGCGGTTTTCGGCTTTTTTCTCTCTATTTTGCAATCAGCGCGGCTAAGATCGGCAGACGGGACTAAATTACGCGCCGTAACCTGCTCGGACTGGCCGATACTTCCGATGTGGCATTCCACCCTCTCGCGAGAGGCAAATTACATCGTCGAGGCCTACGCGCAACGTCGTCGGGACGCGCGCTGTCCTTAGAAAAATCAGGCCGAGCGAGCAACATTGATTTCGTCGGGCAGAAGATTCCCCGGGGGCTGAAATCACCGGTCATTAGCGCTCGCCGACTCCGCGAACCTCGTACCTCGCGGATCCGTGGGAAGCGCGAGTTTATAAATATCGGTAATTTAGTAATGGGACAAGGAAAGGAGAAGTTACGCGGACGGGACACGCGACCGTTTCGACGGCCAAGTGGAAAGTGCGTGACCAATCGGCCCCGTTGCGCGGCGTATCATTATGCGTAACGTATTATACAGAGTGTCAAAAAAGAAAGTGCTGCAAGACTTTAAGGCGTTACAATGCTCGCCGGGGGCAGCACAAAATGTCGGATCAACGGGGGTCCAAGAATCAACCCTTTCGACATTTGTGAAAGATCCCTTGTTGATACTATATATAATATAGTATATATAATAATATATACTAATAATGCTAATATATATATATATATTATATATTAATATTATATTATATATATATATTAATATTATATTATATATATATATATATATATATATATATATATATAATATATATATAATAATGCTAATAATGTTATAGAACATTATCTATATATTGGGTTGGCCTAGAAAGTAATTTCAATGTGCACCAATTACGGAATCATGAAGTTATCAGAAAGATGGCGAAATGCCACAGAATGGAAAATATTTGACTGATTAAAGTTCATTTTTTCTATAAAAAAAAATTGAGTTTTATTTGACACTGAAATACCGAAATTACTTTCCTTCCGATCTAAAAGATATTATCTACAAGGTGTACCAAAATTATGGTATTTCCGGGAAATGAGGAGTTCCTGAGGTGATTTGAAGTATCTTTTTCCTTTACAAAAATTTTCTCCGACGCGTCGTTTACGAGTTATTAACAAAAAACACTGACCAATGAGGGACGAGCTCGCCTGGCACTAGGCGGCCGAGCCAATGAGCGGAACTGGGCTTCGTGCGCTCGTCGGCTGGGCCGCCTCGCGTCATCCGAGCTCGCCTCTCATTGGTCAGTGTTTTTCGTTAATAATTCGTCAACGATGCCTCGGGGAAGATTTTTGTAAAGGAAAAAGTTGCTTCGAATGACCTCAGTAATCTCTAATTTCACGGAAATACCATAATTTTGGGACACTCTGCATAACATTGTTGAATGCTAGAAATCGAAAGATTTTCTGTCGAAAGAATCGACCTTTGAACCCATGGACATCTTTTACTCCTCCAGGTAAGCACTATAAATCCTCGAAGTCTCTTTTTTTGTTAAACACCCTGTATTGTAGTTTACGGATCGGGCGAGCAGGGAGTCGCGACCGATTGTCTAATCCGTCTGACCTAAAACCCAGTTCTCGTTGTCGAAGAGCAATTGCCCGAGTGCCCGATGGTCACGTCTCCGATCGACGGAACGAAAGTCTAGGCACACGTACGGTGGACGTGCTCGATCGGCGAGCGATCCCGTGGAATCGAACGCTTTTGTCTGTTCTCGTTCTCGGCTTCGCCCGGCGGATCTCGGATCGGCCAGCAACTTTAAAGGTTAACCGAAGATGATGTTCCCTCGTACACCGTTGCGTCACTTCGACCGCGGCATCGGCATCGGCATCGACAACGGCAGCCGCGGCACTTTCACTCGACACGAGGATCCCGCCGACGAGAGTAAAAAGCCGCGGCAGGCGGTTGCAATGAACCGCAGTTAAGGTCAATCGGCATGCTCGATTTCTTGGCATTTCGCGGCGTTCGACCGGGACAGCGTGCCGGAAGAAGCGGCGACGCGCGTTCCGCGGCGATTAAAATTCGGATCAACGCTAGATTTACGGAACCCGTCGGAACGACGGGTCGCTAGTTTTTTAATTCACGATTATTCGTATCGTATAGAGATATATTTACGAGTTATTTATTCTATTTATATGTTACTTGCGACAAACGTTACAACAACGCTTGCTAAAAATCAGAATAAATGTCTTATCGTTACTTTTATCAACTAATATAAAGCAGCTCTTTTTTATGCTCTGTAATTAACAATAAATTTATGAAACCCGTCGGAACGACGGGTCGCTAGTTTTTTAATTCACGATTATTCGTATCGTATAGAGATATATTTACGAGTTATTTATTCTATTTATATGTTACTTGCGACAAACGTTACAACAACGCTTGCTAAAAATCAGAATAAATGTCTTATCGTTACTTTTATCAACTAATATAAAGCAGCTCTTTTTTATGCTCTGTAATTAACAATAAATTTATGAAACCCGTCGGAACGACGGGTCGCTAGTTTTTTAATTCACGATTATTCGTATCGTATAAAGATACATTTACGAGTCATTTATTCCATTTATACGTTCCTTATGGCAAATGTTACAACAACGCTTGCTAAAAATCCGAATAAATGTCTTATCGTTACTTTTATCAGCTGTTTTTTGTGCTCCGTAAATCCAACGTTAACTATACCGCGGCAGATCGATGCCGCTGGGCACCGTGCGATCATCGAAATCGTGGAACCACATTCGCAGAAAATCATGTACAATAATTTCTCCCTAATTCGCGCTCAGGTCGCGCACAAAAATGAACAATTTCGGAAGAGAAGATCCGAGTCTTGCGTCTCGTTTTTACAGTCACCGATCGTCAACTAATTTTTTAATTCACGATTATTCGTATCGTATAAAAATACATTTACGACTTATTTATTCCATTTATACGTTACTTACGGCAAATGTTACAACAACGCTTGCTAAAAATCCGAATAAATGTCTTATCGTTACTTTTATCAGCTGTTTTTTGTGCTCCGTAAATCTAGCGTTGATTATGCTACGGCAAATCGATGCCGCTGGGCACCGTGCGATCATCGAAATCGTGGAACCACATTCGCAGAAAATCATGTACAATAATTTCTCCCTAATTCGCGCCCAGATTGCGCACAAAAATGAACAATTTCGGAAGAGAAGATCCGAGTCATGCGCCTCGTTTTTACAGTCATCGATCGTCGACAACTATAAAATAGAAACGCAAGGCTCGAATAATTTATTTAATAATGTATCATTAATAATGTATTTCCTCTTCCGAAATTGCGCACTTTTGTGCGCAATCCGAGCGCGAATTAGAGAGAAATTACTGTGCTCGGGACCATCGGCCGCGTCGAAACGATTCTGCGCCGGAATTATTGAGACCATAAACTTTTATGGGAAATTACTGTACGAACCGCTCCTCCGTTCGATCGAAATCTGGATAAAGAAGTAATCCCGTCCAGTTTAGAAAGCAGTGGGCAATATTCGAAGCAATTATTTCATCGATTCGAGCATCTGTTCGAGCAGAAGATATTTCTCTTCCAGAAGATATTTCCGAGGCGAACGAACCTCGGATTGCCGGTAAAAGTGAAAATCGTTGTAGCTCGGCTAAGTACCTATGCGGCTGTATAGATCATCCAGCTCTATCCGGATCGTATTAGTACCCGTATCGATCCCGCTTAATATTTTGACGGATATCTACGTTCTCGCTTAGCCGACGAGAAGACCGGGGCTGAGCCGATCCGCTGGCGAATAGGCCTCTAATATTATAGTTCCGGCGGCATGCTTAATCGGCCGAGTAATCCTATCGATTACAACGTAATATCTTGTCTCTATTTCATGTAGCCATTAATAACTCACCGGTAGAAGAAGCAACGAGGACGGCGAGTGCCTGGCAGCGGCCTGCCTCAGACCAAGGAAGTGCAGTAGGGGGTCCTCGGCCGCTCTCAGCTCGTCCAGAATCCGCCTGGCCTCTCCGTAGCTCTCCAGGTACTCCCAGTAAGAGTTCCAAAACGAGCCGGGGAATAAGTCACCTGGCGACAGGCCACAACAACCGGTAACCAATTAAGAGAACCGCTGAATAGAAACCGTCCCCGCCGTCCAATTCGTCAAATCTCCCCCACGTTTGTTTCGAGGAGTCCCCTGACCTTCGACATACATACTTCAGAGGGAACAGTCGTGTTCGACGTAGAGACTCTCTTATCCGTTTAATTTCGTAATAACCTTCTTCTTCTTCTTCTTCTCTTTTTTTATATAAGCTTGAAAGTCTCCGATGAGATTCATTCGCTGTACAGTAATGTCTCCCTAATTGACGCTCAGAGAGTGCGCAAAAATGGACAATTTGGGAAGAGGAGATACCATTATTCGAACCTTGCAACTGGTCTTTATAGTTACCAATTGTCAACAATTATACAAACGAGTTGCAAGGCTCGAATAATGGTATCTCCTCTTCCCAAATTGTCCATTTTTGCGCACTATCTGAGCGTTATATTTTTCATATTTTGAAACAAATTTGTCAAGATTTTAGTTCCTGACGAAATAGACACTTCTTAGAAGAAAAGGAGAGGATTGCAAGCATTTCGTGTGGACCACAAAGATGTTACTTCAAAAGTGGACAATTTGGGAAGAGGAGATATCATTATTCGAGCCTTGCAACTGGTTTTTATAGTTACCAATTGTCAACAATTATACAAACGAGTTGCAAGGCTCGAATAATGGCATCTCCTCTTCCCAAATTGTCCACTTTTTTGCACAATCTGAGCGTCAATTAGGGAGACATTACTGTACTTAATCGTAAATTAATCATAAATTTGTAATAACTATTTGTAATAACATGATAACAAAATATTCTATTGTTTAAATATTTCGTTCGTGCTCTCTACTACTATGACAATGTACTTAAATATGCAAATATGCAAATAGAATATGCAACTTTGCAACGATTAGATGATCGAACGTTTTCTGGATATTAGAATATTGCAAAAACAAGTGTTCGGATAAGAGAGTCTCTGCTATACTTAGAGGATTCTTAACGCTCTAATAATAATATATAATACGCTAAATTTTATTTAAAAAAAATAATCGCAATAGATCTTTCAAACTTGAAACATAAAAATTCAAGATTCTAATTCCAATTGTTACAGAAACGAGTATAATTGTCAAATTATGAACTGGGTCACTTTGTTCGGGTCACATGTTATCGACACCCGATATATACCATTCATGTGTACCCGGTATAAAATACCCGGAACCTAAATATTTGTCCTGTTTTGGAGCTTTTACACCTGTCCACGGTTTCAGCTTCTCCAGACTTCTGTTTGATTTGCGCGATAAGGGCTTAAAAATGCCGACAAAAACTCGAGCGGGACGAACGAAAGTTGGGTAAACTGGACGAACATTGTCTACCGCGTTCGAGAAAGTGGTAAACCCGTTTTGTTTGCATTCGCGTGTAACGGGTTAGGCGAAAAATTAGTCGGCGATGATGGAAGACCGCGCGGACGCGAGCACACGTCCGAAATCGTCTTCGAGAGATTCGATCCGGCAATACATCATCCCGCTATCTCTTCCCTACGAAACTCGTTTCTGTTTGAGGATCGACTCTCCGTTTCTCTCTGTTTCTCTCTTTTCCGTGGTCGGTTCCTCGTCTGGTGGGGTCCCGAGCATCACGGAAGAAGAAAGCCTTCCACGGACGCTCACGCTCACGCACCGGGAATATGATTTACCATCGAATCTCTCTCTCTCTCTCTCTCTCTCTCTCTCTCTCTCTTTCTCTTCCTTCCTCTCTCTTTCCATCAGGACCGACTCCATTATCGGCCGTCGTAGACTTCCTCGTGCAGTAAACCACGAATTCATTAGGGACCGCGTCAAATTCGCGGGGCCCTGTTTCTCCGCTTTCGTCGCGAACGAAGCATTCAGCGAAATTCGTGACCGTGTCCCTCGGTCCCTAATGGTATCGTGGGTGTTTACGATCTCGTGGAGGTTATTTGACCATCTGGACCAGGCACTGGATGCAGGTTTTCCATTCGGAACTTTTCCGAAGGGCAATGACCTTCTATTTTGAATTTTTCTCTTTTATCAGCAATTATCGCGTTAGGCCGCGATTAAAGGACTCGAGCAACTTGCACCGCGGGGCAATCGATTCCTAGGTAAGTGTATCAATTACTGTGCCCATTAAAATGACATTCGAAGTTTTCGCGACAAACTCAATAGTTTCTTTTTACTTGCAGTTTGGGGAGAAATATATGTGGACACTCTTTGAAACAGTATAACTCGTTTAAAATTGAACCAAATGACTTGAATTTTTGTCAGATGAGACTCGAGCAACTTGCACCGCGGGGCAATCAATTCCTAGGTAAGTGTATCAATTACTGTGCCCATTAAAGTGACGTTCGAAGTTTTCGACAAATTACAAAATTTCTTTCTACTTGCTGTTTGGGGAGAAATATATGTGGACACTCTTTGAAACAGTATAACTCGTTTAAAATTGAACCAAATGACTTGAATTTTTGCTAGATGAGAAAAAGACTAGCCTATTACACAATGACTATAATACGGTTTTTCTAATTTTTCTATTTCTTGGAATGCCGAAAGAAATGAAACCTCTTATGCCTTTTTATAATCGGTTAGGTCAGAGTTAAGCTGCAAATGTTGAAAGATTTTTAAAAACTGCAGATTCCTGACTGGTATCGGTCGAAAGTGTCAAAAATCGGAACAACGCAGCGATTCTCGCGTTCTTTAATTGTTCGTAACTCATAAACAACGTCGACCAATTTCGATGAAATTTTCATCATGCATATTATATGTATACAAAATGCATTTTATACATTTTCGTTCCAGGCTCAGACGAGAAAATTAAAAGGAAACGGTTTTTTAATTTTTTTATTATCATTGCAAGTAACCGCAGAATTAAAAAAGGCATTTTAGTTACTCTCTAGTAAATTAGTCCCACTACAATCTAAAAAAAAAAAATTCAAGTCATTTAGACCAGTTTAAAAGAGTGTCCACACATATTTGTCCCTGATCGTACATCCGACTTCTTGAAACATTGAAACTAAATATCGACGTCTTTCATACAAGTCTGAATTTATATACATATACTTGTTAATAATTGATATATACGAAGACTATTCCCCCGAAAAATGCAGCTCGAAAGGTCGCAATAATTCTCCGCTTTGCACTTTCTCCTTCTCGTTGCAGTAATCGCGTCAGTCATTGATCAAGAGGCTCGGCTCCGGCGCTCTCGCTTTCAGGGGACAGAAAGAACATTTGGGCCCGCGGAGGGATACGGCGGGCCTGCCAGGGTCCCCGGAGCAGCTACAGTATTCCAGATTCGAGCGAGGTTCGATCCCCGAGCCGAGGCTGGGGCCTAGAATCTCGTTCGAGGACAAGAAGTCTGGCGTACTCACCCGATTTGAAGGTATCGCCGTCCCAATTCTCGAGTGCCCCGCGGATCTGAAAGGAAGCAAAACGGGTGCGGTAGAATTGGCTCTTAAAATACAATGACCAAGATACGGAGGAGGCTGTGGTTTGGGGGCCATGTATAATGCATGAAGCATAATACAAGAATGAGTCGAGTCCGAGGGGCGGTGTACGCCAGTTTCGTACGAGAGCCGTGCTGGAAACGGTCGTTCGATTACCTTCTTTTTCTATCCGCCAGTCATTCTTACTGTAATTCGGCCGATCGATCGATCTCCGCTGCCAGAAAGATTTCGCGGTTTCGACGAAACCGGCCATCGATTAGGCGTCGCAGTAAATTCTCTCGGATTCGTGTCACAGCGTGGAAACGAAAATGGATCGGTATTCAGAGATAACAATATAAATAAAAGAATGATGGAATGAGCGCGTGAGGTTAATTAAATAATAAATAGATTAATAAAATAATAATACAAGCGAGATCTTGTGCAAGAGAACAGTGCAGCAATCTTGGAGTCTGAAGATTCCCGAAAAACGTTCTACACGGGGTGTCCCCGAAATAGGCGAAGAAACAATGGCATAGTATTTGTAACTTCCTCAACCCTAACAGGACCATAAGATTGCTAAGAGTAAATATTAGTATGTAACTGTTTATTTTAGTTTGTTCAGACGTGAAATGAATAAAAATCATTTAAAAAATGCATAAGAATGTGTAGCTTTTTTGGAATTTTATGGAAAATAGTTTTCCCAATGGACTATAAAAGTGACACAAATTATGGCTAGGCTTATTATGCGATGTCTTTTATTTGTTGGTTCATCATAACAAAATGTTAACTAAAATAATACGAAATTAGGAAACAAAATTACTATAGAAAATGATGCGACTAATTATGATATTCTGCGAAGCAATTTCTTTTGGTTGCGAAGCATTTCATTTTTACATGTTGTGCGCTGGCAAATTGTCTTTTGTATAAAAAATAACCAATAATTAAATGCAATAATCCCCGTGCCATGGTATACGGTTCGCATCTACGTTTCGCAGACTGCAGAATACAGTAAATTCTCCCTAATTTTCCTTCAGCTTCTAAACAAAAATGTACAATTTTGGAAGAGGAGATACGATTATTCGAGCCCCGCGGCTCGTTTTCACGATACAGTAATGTTTCTTTAATTGACGCACAGATTGTCCATTAAAATGGATAATTTTGGAAGAGGAGGTACGATTATTCGAGCCTTGCGGCTCGTTTTTATAATTGTCGAGAATTTGTAACTATAAAAATGAGCCGCAAGGCTCGAATAATCGTATCTCCTCTTCCCAAATTGTTCACTTTTGTGCACAATCTGAGCGTCAATTAGGGAGACATTACTGTACTTAGCAAAGCGAATGTACCTAATCATAAATTAATCATAAATTTGCAATAACCTTTTGTAATAACGTGATAACAAAATATTCTATTGTTTACATATTTCGTTCGAGTTCTCCACTACCTTGACAACAACTATAAAAATGAGAAGCAAAACACGAATAATCGTATCTCCTCTCCCGAAATTGTCCATTTTCGTGCAGAATCTGAGCGTCAGTTAGGGAGACATTGCCGTACTCGGCAACCGCGAAGCTTCCGCGATAATTTGAAAGAAAGCCCGACATCAGAATTCGCAACCGTGCCTGGAGAGTGACATTAAAAACGACGTAAATCAAGATGGGAATTTTAACGATCTCAAGGTCTGGCCAGTTGGGTCTACGATCTAGGATGAGAGAACGATTTTTCAGGCGCATAATGCGCGGTTCAACGATCCGGCGAGGCAGCGGCGGGCGAGGCTAAATCACGTCCTCGAACGGAGCATACATTTTGTGCGTTGAATTATGACGCAGCATTATGTCCAATCAGGACATCATCGAGGGGAACACATCGACGTGAATAAGTTCCGGTAGTCCTTAAGGCTCCTTCTATCGGCCGCGCATTAAGGCGTTGCGTTCCGTCGCTCGGAATCCTCTTCGAATAATAGATAACGAGCCCGCGCCACGAATGATAACTCATCGATCGTGATCGAGTGGATTTTTCTACGGACCGTAGGCTCACAATCAGTGGGAACGCTCGTCGCGGCTTCCAGCCGATCCTCGAACTCGCAGCGGGTCGTCCTCGACCCGCATAATATACTTAACGTTGAAGATTCCCTTTCGAAAATTGATCGAGTCTCGGAGACTCGGCGACGCGGGTCAGCGACGACCCGGTGATAGTTGTACGAGGGACCAGAGACTAAAGATCTGCGATTTTGAATCGATTTTCTACAGCATCGATTTTTCGAAATTGTTGTCTAATCGATTCTTTAATCTAATTTAAAAGTTTATAGGCAGCATCTCATCATGAGATACTGTAATTAGTATTTCGATAGCGTTATAAATATTGTACACTTAACATTGAGTTACTTTTATACATAGTATTTCGATCGATTTCTTGTGAATCGATTTTCAGAGAATCGATTTCTTAAATTTAATCTTAAATTAATCTTAAATTTAATCTTTTAATTTAATTTAATCTTAAATTAATTTTAAATTTAATCTTTTAATTTAATTTAATCTTAATTTAATTTTAAATTTAATCTTTTAATTTAATTTAATCTTAATTTAATCTTAAATTTAATCTTTTAATTTAATTTAATCTTAAATTAAATTATTTAATTTCGAGACAATTATTGCTTCGCACATAAGTATCATCAAATTTCTTGTAGATTAATCACAATCATATACAGCTTGCCATCATTTTCCATAAATATTAACTTCGTAAAGCGGCCTTTTGTTAATGAATTAATGTAAACAATTCGCTCGGGCATCTCGCTTGAAATTAATCTGCTGCTTTGAGCATTCTGTTGCTAAATATGATTATTCAGACATTTTGTCACATCGTGCACACCGTTTCGAACAGATACAAAGCGATGATTTCTTCTTAATTTCGTCCATTGACAACCGTGCTGTGGCTCGACTAACTTTCTAACGAGTCAACAACAATTTTACCGAGTAGCCGAGCTCCGAACGGTTACACGCGTTCATTTCGATAAGTAAATCAATAGCAATTATACGGTACACGCGTTCGGGAGGCACGCGAGCAGCCAACCATCAAAGACGATCGTGCCATCTAGACGGCCAGACGGCGTCGCGTTAATCGGCGTGTTAATGTTTAATTTCAACGCGGTGATAAAAGACGAGAGAAAGTCGCGAGCGGCCCGTCGTCGTTCGCCGCGGACCGCGCGAATTTGCATTCGTTCGACGGCGACGCGACGGTGGCCGGATCCACCGAGAAATCCTCCGGGGGACTCCGCCGTGGATCACGCCGCGCCGTTGATCATCGACGATCCACGGTTAATTGCCTCCGAGCCACGAATACACGTATCTATCATGGCCGGCGTATAATCGCAATAAAACTGGTCGCCCCTGTGCGCGTCCCGGCCGCTAACGATCAATTTGTTGCACCGTAATTGCCGTGATTCGCGCGAGGACAGCGAGCAGGGGATGCAACACGGGGCTCCGGTTGCATCGGTGCATTTTCAGAGAGGACGCTTGCGGTTCGACGGCGGGTAGGGATCGCGTTGGAAACGGGTCGGACGTCGCGTCCATGTTTCCCATTGGCCAACGACGTTTCGATCGAGATCGCAGAAGCGAGACGAAGAAATAAAAGATTTCTCCTGCTGGAAGCATCATTTTTCTCGCTTCTCCTTTTCGCCTAACAGACCTGGCGACAGGTCTATCCGGTCTATCGCAGTTTTGAAATAAAGCCGCGAAAACAATTACTTCGTTGAATCGCTTGTACTTTCCATGCAATTAATTCGATTTCGATGAGTAAATTGTTCTCTGTTAAGCAATACGCGGTCTCGTAATCTGTGATTTGTTGTTTCTGGACAATTTCAGTTGTTGATGAAAATTAGATATTTTTACTTCTTAGTTATTAATATCAGTCATTAAAATGTCAGGAGACAAATCTCTCCTGATATGTGTAATATCTCCAATTATACATTAATTAATGTACATAATAATTACATAATAAAAACAAACATAATAATTATACATTAAATATAGCATGTGGTATATACAATAAGTGTAGTACATACATATTATGTACAGTAGTATATATACATAAATATTAGGTCTACCGGAAAGTTCTGTCTGATAATGTCATTGCAAATTTCAATAGATGTGCACATATTCGTTTGAGACATATATTTTTGAAAAATGTTGCTCGCAAATTGTCATCACGCTGGCAAGAGGTCATAAATAACGACGGAAATTATATTGTGCAATAAATACTACTAAATTTACGAAAAATCTATTATTTTTCCTTTCATTTCTCACAAACGGACAGAAAACTCTTTTTCCGGTAGACCTAATATATTATATTATATCCTATCCTATACGTATAAAATTGAATGTCGCGATTCGATAACACTTTCAACAGTTTTTCAAATATGGACAAAATCGATAATGATAAAATTACTTTGAAACGTGATAGAACATTTAGAAACAACGAATTATAGATTAACACGTTCCGTACCACGTGTACCATCGATGGTACACGCTTGCATGTTTACTTAGTGAACTGAACAAATTGTTTACAAGAAATTTAGAACCGAAGAATCAATTTCCACCGCAAGAATGGGCGTTGATAAGTTTTTGTTACGTTGTTATGTGTACGAGAATTAATAATTGCACGTAATACATCAAGTTTTAGTAAAATATCAAAGTGTGAAGATTCGAGTAAAAAAAGCTCGGCACGGAACGTGTTAATGAAAAATTGGAGAGTGTTTTACACAGAACAGTTTGAAATGATCCCGCGTCCCGGTGGATCCCTAATGGGATCCAGGGCAGAACCACGAATGCGGTCCAGGAAATCGTTTGGAGCCTAGATCGACGGAAGGGTCGTCAACCTTCTCTTATCCGAACCGTAAGAGCCCGAGGAATTATGAGCCGGTGACTCATAAACAACGCGATAACGCATCTCGAGAGCCGGGAATTACGTGTTTCACCGGTTTCGAATCGCCCCTTAATT